CAATCTAATCTGTTACAGTAATAATTACCAGTCTTCTGGTTTTTCTGCATTTGGATCTGGAATGTATTCAGGTTCATTATCAAGCCATCCTTCAGGTTTAACAGCATCAGGATCTTCTATGTTTGGAGGCTCCTCTTCATTCCTTAAAATTACAAACCAATTTTATCACAAAATACATAAAAGAGCAGCAAGATACTTTCATAATATGAGTACATTTGTTCCTCCAGAAAAAAGGTATGGATATGAAATATATTTTTCTATATTTGCATAATAATATTTTATATATTTTAAGTCCTTTTATTATAGAAGTGAGTCAAAAGAATACTGCTACCCCAATATTACAACTGCAAATCTTTGCATGTGGACAAACATGCAGTCTTATTAAAGACTGTTAATCTAGGCTTTCTTTATTTTGCTAAAAAGCACTAAGTGAAAGCCTTGGTTGATCAACAATGATGATAAGTAGAGAATATTATTTGTAAGCATAGCTGCTGATAACTATGGCATTTAGAATATTGCTGTATGTAGGTAGATAGGTAAGTAGGTAGGCTAAAAATCCACTTATATGTAAATGAGAGACAGTAGTAAACCATCAAAAGGGGGAGGAGTTAGCAATTATATATACTCTTTACCAGTCATCTGGCTTTACAGCATCAGGATCAGGTATTTTAGGTCTCTCATCCCAATCTTCAGGCTTCTTATCATTAGGATCTTCTATTTCTTTTGGTGGGTTTATAGGTGGAATCATGTCTTCTAGGAGATTTCCCTTGCTGACAACTGCTTGGTCAATTAATACTTCAAAAGTATTATCAGGTTTCAGCACTAAAATATAGTAAGTTAATATATTAAATGAAGGAGAAATTATAAAAATATTTTTTATAATCCTTAAATATTTATTAGAAATAGTTTCAGTTTATGGTTTTCAATTTGAACCATATAATCAACCTGAAAATTATGCCAGTTCTGAACCAAATAAGGTTAGAAATAGCTATCTCAGTACTCCCTTAATTCTTTGTTAGCAATCCAAATTTTGAAAAACACATATGATGTCGCAGTTAAGCGACTGCTGCCTGTGGATGGCTCTGGATTGAGCTGATGCAGGCAAAAGACTTCTCTCTCTCCCATATTTAGGCTGACAGGGTGTTCAAAAAGCACTCATCCTCTTNAATTTGCTTAAAACCAATTTAATTTGAAATCTCTGGTTTAGCTATATGTGATTATAAAAATGTATTCTTAAAATATATTTTGTATTTGTTTTAAATAGTTTTTTCATTTCAAAACTGCCATCTTTGTTCTTTTAAAAGATATTTCTTTCCGTTTTATTATTCTTTAAAAACATAACACTGAACCTCATACAGAACATTTTTATCCCTATTTATTCAGATGTTATAACATATTATGTCAGTGCACCTTGCTCTATATGAAGAATTCTTAGGATTCCACTTTATTTACAAATGCAAACAAATTCATATACATTCTATTGATATAATCCTCCAAACTTCTCAATTTCTATTAAACTGTCATCTTGTATAAAATGCAAAGATCCATATATGATCAATTATCTGAAAATAAAATGATTTTGGTCAATATTAGAATGTACCTAGGATAAGCTTCAATTCACTTTAAAGTAATCTTAATTATCCTATGCAGCAACATCATTTAATCTGAGGGGAACTATAAAACAGGATTAATGCTGGCAAGTAAACAATCAATATTTTCCTAAAGATTCTTACCAACTTGAAACATAATTGAGAATTATGGGAGTTGTAATCCAACAATGTAGGCCCTACATTGTAGGGCATCAGATTGAATAAACCAATGCTTTAGATTTTAACCCATATAAAAGCCCTAATCTACAAAGCAAATTTAAGTAGAATTGTAGACTTCTGGCGCTCTGAATTGCAACATCCTTTTATTTGCAAAATTCCAATACCCTCTAAGTTCTGCCATGAGAACATGAGCCCCACTGCTTTCATTAGTAACTGTAAGAAAACTTATCTTCAAGTATAAGAATTCCTCTAATTTTCATTAGAAAACTGAGATAAGGAAGTATCTAAAGTTCCCAGTTTTCTAGAGCAGGGCTTTTCAACCTTTTCACCCATTGTACCACTTTTAGGATATGCCAATATCCGAGTACCACCAGTCGCCTAGCAAGGTGTCAAAAACGTGATGACCCCCCCAAAAGGAAAAAAGTGATAAAGTACAGGTAGTCCTCGACTTACAACAGTTCGCTTAGTGACTGTTCGAAGTTACAATGGCATTGAAAAAAGTGCCCCCCAAGCCACAGCCGAGCAAGACACCTGCCTGCCCGCCCGGCGACGCTCTTCCTCCTGTCCAAGGTTTTCATTGTTGTGAGCATTTCTGTTGAGGATTGGCAGCGGGGTTGGGATGGTGTTTGGTTTTTATTCCCCCGTCTGCTGGGTGGTTGCAGCAGGTTTTGGTCACATGACCCTGAGACACTGTGACCGTCATAAATATGAATTAGTTGCCAAGCATCTGAATGTAAATCACAAGACCCTGGAGATGCTGCAACATTCCAGCTGATCGATGCTTCTTCTGGGCTCAGCAGAAGTGCCAGGATCAGTGCTGCTTTCCAGCTGATTGGTGCTTCTTCAGGGCTCAGCAGAAGCACCAGGATCAGTGCCGAGTTCCAGCTGGAGCCTGGCGCTGATCCTGGCACTTCCACTGAGCCCTGACAGTCCCGAAGAAGCGCCGATCAGCTGGAAAGTGGCACTGATCCTGGCGTTTCCGCTGAGCCCTGACAGCCCTGCAGCTCCAGCCATCTCTCGCTCAGGCTTGTGCGGTGCTGCCACCAGTTCAGCTCATTCCCCTCCCCCGCTACTTTTCTAGGATGGTCGCGTACCACCTGCCAGGTGCCAATGTACCACAGGTGGTACCCGTACCACTGGTTGAAAAGCCCTGTTCTAAAGTTAGCAGTGCTTTCCTTTATACACACCTGCTACTATGGTTATAATGAGCATTTTCCTATAGCATTAAGTGTAAAAAGGCAAATGACATTGTTGAAACAAAGAGGTCTATTTCCTTTAGGTTTTCTCTGAAGTCTTTGTCCTATTCTTCAAACATTCATAGCAATATTAAATTGTTACCACAGAAGCGGAGTATTCCCACAATGACCAAATGAAAATTAATAGTTCTCTAAAATGGAGATCATATGCATGTATTTTAAATATATGCTTGTGCTTTAGTATTTCCATTCTATCTTATTTTTCTAAATTTAGGAATGTAAAAAAAATACCAAGGGTATATAGATGGGTCTTCTTGTCAGTATAAATTTTTTTCAGATCTACGTCAGGTCGTTTGGCATGCTTTTCCTCATAATCCCCAGTCTTAGGATGTTTATGTCTAAAGATAAAGTGTAGTTTATAGTCTTCTCCACATTTATCTGGCCCAAACATAATTGTGTATGATGTTTTATCATAGAAGTATTCCTGCAGGATAAAAATGAATACAATATTTTGTTTGTAACAAAAAATATTTTGCAACAAAAAACACTAGCACTAGTTAGAGCTTGATATCTCCTTATTTTAAATGATATTTAAAAGAATATTTTTAGAAATTAGTAGCATTTCTTTAGTTGTAATTCATAACACATAACATGGAAAAAACAATATATGATTGATAATTAATGTTCAGAGTGAGACCTAAAAAGATAATTATTTGACTTTCTGTGCATAGGAATTTCCTGCTGCTTCCTCTTCCAAAAATAGGGCTCTTGCAAAAAAAAAAATGTGGTTGAAAATCAGCCAAATGTATATAGCAGCAAGCAGAAAATAATTTTATCTGGTTCTAGAGATTTAAAACTAACCTTCCAATGAAGACTTCCAAGGCTCATTATGTGAGCAAAATAACTCACTCAAAAATGAATAAAACAAGACCAAGGTTCTAATGGGGGAAGAAACTGGCAAGATTGAGTCTGAAAACATACGCTACAGAAAATTAGATTCCCCCAGTGCCTCCCTACAAGAGGAGAAGTTGGCCAACATCTTAGAATGTTTGTGAATGCTTCATTCTAAGTCCCCTTCTTCCCAGTCCCATGACCCAGAGGAGAACAAATGGAACTTGTTTCATGCTTCCTAATGCAGCAGTCTCCAACCTTTCTGGCTTTGCAGGCAAGTGTGTGGGGAGAGGGAATGATTCCATGCAAGTGGCAGGTGAGCGCACATGCTTGCCCACTTTCACAGTCTAATTCTGAATGGACCGCAGCCCAGTGGTTGGGGACCCCTATCCTAATGCACACACGTGTGTGCTCACCCGCCATTTTCACAGTCTAATTCTGAATGGACCGCAGCCCAGTGGTTGGGGACCCCTGTCCTAATGCACATATACATTCAGAGATGCAATACAAGTACAGAACATAAACATAGAGAAACAACAGGTTTACATTACTACCCAGAAAAAATACATATCTCTTCCTTATGGCCACTGCTAATAAAGTACTGGAAAGAATTTCAGAAGCCATGCTTAACATGCTTTCTTTGTTATAATTATATAACATATCAACATATGGCAATTAATTTAAATATTAATATATTAATGGATTAAAATTAGAGCTCCTGTATTTTCAAATCCTAACTGAAATTTTGGAATAAATTAATACAAAGGTAATAAATTTTAGTTAACAACAGATTATTCGAACTTATCTATGAAGCTCACTAATCTTCAGCCAATTACAATCTTTCACCTTAATTATCCTTTAGAACTATTACAATAATGAAATTGGGATAGGCAATAACAACTATGTACATTGAACTTCTTGGGACACAGGAGGGATACGTCAGATTACTATTTTTCATTTTATTGTGATTTTTTTTTAAACATGCCAGGTGAATAGGATTTTTATATTCTGGATCTTTTTACACACAATTTCAAACCTGCTGATTGGTATCATTTTATCTTTTCAGATTGAATTTAGTTTAGTTTTCTATATTTGTATTATAGTTTTATTTTTCCTTACAAACTACTAAGAATATGACTGAAGGATGAGAGAGAAAAATAGCCATAAGCAGCAAACATTCTAATTAATGAAACATGTATATCAGCTAGTGTATGCTGACTTACTAAAAAATAAAAATAAAAATTGAAGTAAGTTATCTACCATAGGAAGCGGTGCCTATTTGTGTATGAACCTCAGTAATAAAAATTGATTATAACTATTGAAAGTTTGGAAGTTCTCCTTCCAAATACTGCAACATGACTGATCAAATCATCTCTTGCAGTTATTACGTACCAGATCCAAATCGTCACTTTTGGATAGAAGTTTAACATATGCACCACCACAATCAATGCCATCCTGAAAGTTCACTTCATATCTGCATAACAGAAACACATTAATACTCTTTTGCAGATAAATATTAATTAAGTTTCTTTAGCTACCAATTCCCAGCTACTTCAGGCACTGTATTATGCCATTTTGTCAGTTAGTACCTGTTTTTCTCCCTGTGATTGACCTAAAACATCTTTAACTTGTTATGAACATTTAAAGTTATAGATTAATATTGTACTTTTTTACACCAAAATAATTATAGTGCATTTTGAAAACCAGATGCGAGAAGTGGAGGGGCATTATTATTATGGTCCATCGCCCAGTTAGATGTTTAAATTAGATATGGCAATTTTATCCACCTATAGAGTCCTTCTCAAGGACCTGGGATGGGCAAATGTTTTTGGCAGGCAGGTATTGTCGCAAGATATATTATTATTATGGTTGGTTGCACAATCAGCCAGATATTTAGACTGGATTTAGCATTTTATCCACCTATTGAATATTGTGGTTATTATTATCATTATTTCACATGTAAATATATACTTACTGAACAATCAGTGGCTTAATATCAAAAACAAATGGCTTTGTTAACATAGTTGATATTGCATGATGTTTTGCTACTGATTTTAGTATCAATCCTCTGTCACCAGGCACTGTGTTTTCTTTTAATGGTTCTATTTCCCACCTTCCTAAGTGAGATAACAGCAAGAGAAGAGAAAAAAAGTGAAATTTTACAAGCACTAGAAGAAATGTGTACATGTGTGTGTGTGTGTGTGTATGTGTATGTGTCTGCCTGTCTATCTATCTATCTGCAATGGTGGCGCAATGGTTAAAATGCAGTACTGCAGGCTAATTTTGCTCACAGCAGCAGTTTGAGCCTGACCAGCTCAAGGTTGACTCAGCTTCCCATCCTTCTGAAGTTGGTAAAATGAGGACCCAAGATTGTTGGAGGCAATATGCTGACTCTGTGAATCACTTAGAGAGGGCTGTAAAGCACTGTGAAACAGTATATAAGTCTAAATACTATTACTATCTCTAGCTAGCTAGCTAGTATAAAAATAAAAAAATAAGCACTAATGAATACAAATACTATGTGCCAACAACCCATCAGCCAGACAAAGAGTACTTTTTTTCTCTGTAAAATGGAATAGGTAAGTCATCAAAGCTTTCCAGAATCAAAATAAGTATAAGGTTGCTCACAAATCTGTCCATGATTAGGGCCAAAGTTCAATGTCTCTTATATTCAGATTAAGTTACATTTGTACAAAGAGAAAAGCCAGATCTTGTGTATGATCTCCCAAATGTGCCAGACCGTAAGTAAATTGGGTCAAGTCCATTATTGTTATGGCAGCGATGAACTTAGGGCTGTTTCAGATACCCAACCAAGGGGAGGAAAGATTAAGACTCCCAATACTTCCAGTTAGGATAAATCTATTGTCACCTTAGCAACCAGATTGAGCAGTCTTGGCAGGAATGCCACTGTACACTTGGGGGAACAGTACATAAGAAGTCAGCCCAACTAGTCCTTCCAGTCCCCATTTAAAAATAAGCAATTGCATTCAGTAATGATTCTTAATGCCAACAGAATCTCACATATGACCAAAAGAACCCCTCACCCTCTCAGAACTTGCCTAATGTTGATTTGAAATCTGGATGGGTACGTTTATGAAAAAGAGTATTTGTCCTCCTCCTCTGCTGCCCAGGTTTTGACTGTACAGGCCAGATCAGCCCTCTCATCCATAATCAAATCATGGATGAGTAAGGTTTTACTATAGACAAACCTGGCATTAAATAGCAGCAATTCTTGGATTCTAAATAACCTGGAACCTCGTTCCCCGGTATGAAAAATGAGACCTGGAAGGGGAAAAATCATACAACGATGTCAAACCCACTTACCCTAAGTGCAGCCCACTCACCCTCCTCTGCCATATTTTTCTTAGCTCATCATAACCAAGTACCATTTTCTATTTCTGGAGAAGCAATGGTAGACTTAAGATAGCTCTGCAGAGAGCAAAGCCAATGGCTGCAGTAGAAAGAGGAGTTGGTGAAAGAATTGGTTCCTTAGAATTCTTCTTTGGAGCAAGGACAGGCTGGGATTATCCACAAGTGCTTCATACAGAGGGTCCCCGGGAGGAAACCATAAGACAGCAGTCTTCAGTGGGTTTTAGTGCTCTGGGAGTTGGGGGAAAGATCTCACCTAAGTCACACATCAGCATCTTAAAGGAACACTGAGTTCACATCCTTCCTCTCTTAATCATCTTAGGAAACTGCTTGTTAATGGCTTTCTAGAAGTTAAGAAACTTGAGAAAAGGTAGGTTTCATTACAACCAGGTGAATTTCCTTCTTGATGAAAAAGGTTTCATGCACGTTTAAGTACTTTAAAAAGAAAAAAATGAATCAACAGCACAAGATTAGAATGATGATTTTGAAAAGTTATGAACAGATTAATGGGACAGATGAATTAAAGACTATTTCCTATGGGTTGTTTAACTTTTTACAAAAATATAAATGAAGATTTTGAAACTAATTATAAAAAATCCACCCATGGGAAAGTGTTGTTGATTCAAAAGAAAAAAGAAAGAAAACATAGTAAGAGGGAACTTTGAAGGTTGACCAGAGGAAACCAGACAGAGCTAAAGATTACAATTAAAAGAGAGGCAATCTATTAATACAATACAGCAATATTATTTGACTGTGGAAGAATGCAAGGATATTTTGGGAAAATGCACTAAGAAATGGCTCTTGTTTGCTACTACAAAAATAGATTTAAAAGAAGCTACAGAAGAAGTGCAGATTTTATTGGACGAAATAGAGACCGAGGTTGATTTCAATATGGATTCGAAAATAGATTTTAAAATGCCAGACTACAAGAATGATACGTCACGCTGGATTTGCAAATGAAATTGGCTGATATCTTATTAATTAAAGGGAACCATACATAGGAATAATAATAATAAATTAGAAGAGTAACTTGGATAGCTTTCTTATGTTGGAATTACAAAAGAGACATGCTAAACTACAGTGAAGGAATTTCTGAGTGGAGACAAAATGCATTATTAGAAGGAACTGTTTTTGCTTTTATCTTAAGCTGTCTTCTTAGGAGACCAAAAATATACTATTGTGATAAAATGATTGAAATTAGGAGAAGTGCAACAAGTACAATCTGCCATGGTGCAATTTGTATGGAATTCATTAATAATACTAAGTTTATGCCTTACCATCATACTTTGCAATATTTTCATCTGTATCCTCCTTTTTGGTCCGAGATAAAACCCACCTGTTTAAAAAAACAACAGCACAAACAGATCATACAAATTCCTGTGAAGCAGAATAGTGGTTAATTATTTTAATCTACCAGGAGGTTTAGGCTGTCACTTGTCACTCATTTAAAGTTTGGTCTGACCTATATATGGGTAAATTTGAAATGAGGTGCAAGAAAAGTTTATATCAATTCAGATTACAACATTGGGGGCAAAGGGAGTAAATGTTGCTCCTTAATACAAAATACCCGTAACAAGTGAAAACTATAATGAGAATTAAATTGAAACTATACTCTGATCACTCAATAACTAGTTTTCAGAGATGATTAAAATTATTTATTTCAACACATAAAACAATAAAAACAGCAATATGCACTAAAGATAAAATAATAAAAATTAGAAATTTTCCACAACCATTCCAACTAGCTACAGTAGAGGGAGATATACGGTAAGTCACAGGTTTCACTTTCCTGGATTGGCAAAAGACCAAGGGCTTTTTAATTCTTTCTATTCCTGAACTGCTTCTATTCAAACTGCAATTATAAAAAAAATAGAAATCTTAAGAACTAGTCAATGACTTATTTCTTTACATTTTTCCCAATTTTATTCAGCATTGGGTATCTTATATTGTAAAATATGACACGGCTGATTTTTAAATGTCCCCAAATAATTACTAATTATCAGATATAATTATAAATAATCAACATGAAATAATAGAAGTATTCACAGAGATGCAGGTCCTGGCACAGCGCTAGAATAAAACCATCATATTCTTCTAAATTTAAAGCTGATTTTTAAAATGGAAACTTTTGGTTCACTCAAAAAGCTCAATTTTACCTGTCTTTGCCTAGTTTCCCTTAAATTAATACTATATTATTTATCAGCGTATATAAATTATCTTATGGATTCTGAGAATAGTATAGCTCCTATAAATATGAGTTTTTCTTATTTTTGGATTCAAATGTTTCTTCCTTGAGAGGAAAGAAATACAAAATATTTTTACAGCTTTCTACATTAGGACTTTCCTAATGTATTTTTCTAAATAGCAGTTTTCATGACTGTTGATATAAATGGTAAAACTACATGTTTAAATTTGAGCAAGAATAGCTCAGAATAAAGTTATGTTTATATAACTCAAAATTTCATGTCATAACTCTATAAAAAGGTATAGATTTAATTATTGATATTATTATTCCATTATTAAATTATTAAATAATAGTGGAAGAAAACATGTTTATTACAACTGAAAGTAGGTAGTTCACAAGTAATTCATTTTAAAATGTTTGTTAAATATCAGATATCAGTATATTACTACTCCATTTAGTTTTATCATCGTTGATAAATTTTATCAAATTTTATAAATTAAAAAAAACAAGTTAATAAACAAAAAACAGTTTAAATCAAATGTGATACAACAATCCTTAGGAGCTTATGCTTCTGATAGTTGTTTTATTATTGTTCAGTTGCTTCCAATTTTTCATAATTCAATTGTAATTTTGTCAGGATCATTTGTCAGTAACTACTTGAGTTCTTATAAACCTATGCTTGCATCACTACAATTTGTTGTTGTTAGTTGCGAAGTCGTGTCCGACCCATCGCGACCCCATGGACAACGTTCCTCCAGGCCTTCCTGTCCTCTGCCATCTTCTGGAGTCCATTTAAGCTCACATCTACTGCTTCAGTGACTCCATCCAGCCATCTCATTCTGTCGTCCCCTTCTTCTATTGCCCTCAATCTTTCTCTAGCTACAATGTCTTCTGTTAATCTCTTTTTTTATTGCCTGTGATTTTTTTTCTAGAAACAGAGTCTGATCCAGTGAGATTATTTTAGATTGCTTGGAATTATGTACCCCAAAGAATTAAGTTTCAGATTCATTATTAGTGCTTCCAATGAGCAGTGAACTAGCATTGGATGATTTGCTCTTCTTTGGTCCAGTATATTGCTATTTTCTCCAGCTTCACAATTCAAAGCCCTGGATTTTTCTTTGTTTGGCATTTCCGATTGGTCCAGCTTTTCCAGCCATATATTTAGCTGGAAAAAACAAAATCCTGATGATAGATACCTTTGTCAGTGTCTTTGCACTTTTAATATTTTGTCTTTTCCTAGCCCCTTTTCTTCAGGGCTGTAATCACTATTCCTAAAAAGACAAAATCTGGCACTACTTTAATTTTTCCACCTATTTGTATTGGGCTGACATTGTCTGTTCATGAAATATATTTTTAATATCAAGCAGCAGACTGGCTTATTCACTCTTTTCTTCCACCTTTAACAAGACATCCCTTAAGTTTTCTTCACTTTTACTTATTGAAATTGTAACATACTGTATTTGTAGGTTGTAAATATTTCTCCTAGCAATTTTAATTCAAATTTCTTCTAATCCAGCATTGAATACTATACAAAGTTGGTGCCATGGGCATTTTGAGGAGCTTATGTTCATCATTCTGGCCATCCTAGCAGTTATTGGTGTTTGGTGCATTATTTTTCCAAATCTGAATTATTTATTTGTATTCTGTTTTAACTATTGTTTCTGATCAGTTTATAAATTCTTCAATAGGCAGATGAGTCAATCCAGTACAATATACTACAATCTGAAGCCAAAGACTTTGTATAACCAATAAAGCAAAAATGTTTTTTAAAATATACTTGTAATTTCCATTATCACCAGATATTAGTGATATGATTTCAGGTGCCCTTGCATCTTTTGAATCTAGCTTGTATTGAATTCCTGGTATTATTGCAAAATATTGAACTCTACTAGCATGTGAAATAAGTACAGCTGTTTGATAGTTTGAATATTTTTAGTATTGCCCTTTTTGGGTATTTGGCAAACTGATATTTTATAGATCCTTGCCCACTGCTGTGTTGTCATACACATTTATGAAATACATGTAGTGCTTTAATGATATTTTCTTGTACATTTCTAAACAGTTTGGTGGTACTTCGTCAATTTCTGCAGCTTTGTGATTAGCAATATTTTCTAGGGCCTATTTAAATTTGCTTTCCAAAATGTATGCTACTAATTCAATGATCAAGCCTTCATATGTATCATTAATCTGGGAATTTTATGTCTACAGTTTTTCCATATATTCTCAACATCTCTTTATGTATTTTCTCCCTTCCCTTCCTTATGCCTATGTTTGCATGAAAGTTTTTCTTAATTTTTGAAATTTTTAAAAATAAACCTCTTATCCTTCCCATTTTATATAACTTGAATTTCTTTGCAATTATTTAGATTTATCTCCTGTTTCTTATTGTACTTCTTTGGGCAAGTATCCTCTCTATTTTGCTTTTCACCCTTCTGTTTTCATTGTACTAGAAAACAGCTATTTTGCCCTTTTTTGCTTTCTGCATTTTGAGATACTTTGTTTGCTTTATCACTAATGAATTTCACCTCAGAGATGATCAAATCTAATACATTCTTTAATTGTATTGCATAATTAATTACAGAGAATATTGCCAAGATCACATTTTTTTACAATTTTGTTTCCCTTAAGTGTAATCCCAAATTGAAATAATAAATCCCTCTAAAATAAAAAAAACATATAAGAAACACATAGAGAGAACTGTCTCCAAAGAAGAGGGAAGCAGCGCCTACCATGACTGCTAGTTAAGTGCTTTAGGGCATTAGAAATGAAACTGACTAGTTATTGGGGGGATGTATTAACTAATATAAGGAAAACAGTAAGAAAAGTATTATTATTATTATCATTTTCTGGATAATGCAATGATGAAAAGAGGAGCTGCTGAATTTTATGGTAGAGATGCATTTTAAAATAGAATTAATGACTATCACTTCCTCAAATGAAATAATGGAGCTCTCCTTCCTCTCTGCCTTAGACTTGCATTAAAAATGAAGATGATGGATATGAGAAATTTGTGGAACTAAGAAATAATGGGAAAGGCAAACACTGGAAGGGAAATGGCTGCAATGGAGGCTGGCTAGTATCAGAAAGGGAATGTGCCTGTGCCCCTTAATTCACCCCAAACATATCTTTGATAACACTTATTACTGGTCAATTGACTTTATTTCCAAGTTAATAGATGGGGTTTTTTTTTTTACAGATCTGGAGGCTGTCCTTGGACAATATTTAAAAAATTCACATTCTTTATTTTATTTTTATGTTTTAATATTTTTATATTAACACAGCTAATGACAACTTGTCAGAGATGAGAACAATGTAATGATGCCAAGGGGAAAAATTGGTGCCAAGACTTAATTGTGCTATAGTCAAATAGACTGGGGAATAGGCTTAAGAAGCATCCTAGTTTCATTTATCTTCATAATATTTTTATTTACAAAAAACTCAATCGAAAACATGCAAGCAAGATGTAACTAGTTATAAGCAGAAGCTGTAGACTATCCATTTAAACTGCAAATATTCATAATTTAGGGCTGTTGTTGAGAATCACTTACCCAGACAATATTGCATCATCAAAGGTTTCAGTAAAGTACACTTCTCCTATAGGCTCTGGTGTTTTGTATACAACCTACCAAATATTTACAAAAATTATTTAAAAAAATCAGAATCAGCACCTACAAATGAATACATTAAAAATCCTAAAAGAAAATTAAATACCTGTGCATTATCAATCAAGAAGTTCATGCTATCAGCAGAATACCAATAAAGCATGTTTCTCTCTGGCTTTTTTTTTCCATCAGAAAGAAATTCATGGAAGGTGTTCAACAGTGATAGATTGTTTTTAGAGCATAATTTAGTTTTTCAGATATGCACAGAGGGTAGCATTTACCACTATAGACTCAAACAATCACAATCTAAGTTTTACATTTCTAATTTATTTATAATTGACCTTTATATTCCAGAGCAAATCAAAAGTTTAATTACTAAAGTATCCTACATTTATGGAGCAAATTAGTTCTTTGATATTTCAGAAGCTCATCTATTATGTATAAGCTTTCATAGGAGCCTTCATCATAAACTACACAAGGCAAAAGCAGATGTGAAATAGCAATGTATCAAGTTTGAATTATTTTGAGAGAAAAATATTGAATAGGTACCAAATATATTCACTGTACACCTTTTTACCAGTTCAGTGAGATTTTAGATTCTTCTGAAAAATAAAAATACTAATTGATAGTGTTTCTGGTTTCATAATAAGTATTGTAATTGTAAGTTAAATTTGCCAAAATCTAGGAATATATATTGACGGATGCTTTCCAAGTATGGACTGAGTTGTGCAAACACAAGCAGCCAGCTACAATTTGTTAACCAATCATGCTTAACTTAAAAAACACCCACAAGATGGATATGGCTTCTCTAGATAAGATAATAAGATATACATCTGATTTAGATTCATAAATTGATTTATTGATTTATGCATAGCATGATCTTATGTCTCAGGACTGTGTGAGGGTAAAGCATCATTGGTAACAGATCCAGTGGGTTAAAAACAGGACAACATTATAGGCCTGTCACAAGAGAATGCATATAAAAACAAAAGAATCAAGAAAACCCACCACTATATGGCATAGTTTATGACATTCTGTAGCACCAAAATGAGTTAAAAAGTAGTAATGTGTTGTGTCTTAATAAACTTCCAGGAATTTATCATTCTTGGTATATTATTATTTCTAAAAATCATAACGAACTGAACACTGAAGTTTACAGTCAAGTAGCTGTAATTTTAAATTTTAGTTTATACATGAAAATTTTACCTCCATGGAGGATCTGCCTGTCTCAGTGTTAGTGTCTTCTGAACTTTGGTCAAAATTTTCTACTTCAACTTCTGGATCTTCAGATTCTGCACTTACTGAACATAATAGTAAGAGACTAAATAATAAATCCCACGGATGTTGCATTCTGACCACCTGTAAAATGAAATTATGACAAATGCATTATTATTTTTAAAAATCAGATATTTAAAGATTAAGATAAACCAAACAAAGCTACTCCTGGAATTTTCTGCTTTTAACTTTCCAGACAACTAAATTTACTAGATTAATCTAGATGCTGAAGCTGCAATGTGAACATAGGCATAAGGAAAAAGGTGTTTCATAACCCAAACTCCAATTTTTTATGTTCCAATTAGAAAAATTATAAAGTTTTTTATATACTTATTCCTAGCGTAATACAAAAACCCCCAATATTCTTATTCTCAAAATAATTTTAATTGTATCCATGTTTAACTGTCATAGATAAACTAAATATCTCATTTCCAGTGAATTAGATTCACATGAAATATTCTTTGATCAATTGCAGGCACTCTAACATGTCATCCATATATATCACATACTAGAGTGCCTGCAACTGATCACACAACATTGCATGTGAATCTAATTCACTACCACCCTGGCAATGAAATACTTAGTTAGATTTGTCTACATATGTATGCATGCATGCATATATACATACATACACACATGCATACATACATACGTGTGTGTGCATGTGTATTATTACATGGAGGATGAAAATAAACAAGGAAAAATAAGGAAACTCTTCCAAGCTCTATGAACTACAGTAAATTCAGAAATGGTATAATGGAATGAGTACTGTATACTGTGATTCTATACAATAATAATGTCAACATCAAATGTACCTCAGATTCTTCCTACTTATAAGACCTACTACTACTAGAATATGGTCCACAATGTGATCATTATCAAGTCAGAAGGCTAAAAGAATTGATGTAATATGGCAAGCAAATTACAGAAGGATCTGCAAAGATCCTAATCAAACTATGCCAGCAAATTTAAAGAATTGCCAACAAACTAGAAGTAGTCAAAGAAATATCAAAGAAAGAGATGTTAAAGAGCATTTAAATGATTAAATAAAATATTCTTAATTTCACATATAAGAAAATAATGTTTAGGATCATTCAATGCAGTTTATAGCCCTACATGGGAGATGTCAGAGGTTCAATATGACTTTAGATAAGTCCAAGGAACATGAGACATTTTTGCTGATCCAAGCTGGATAATTTAGAAAACCAAAAAGAAAACAGTACATGCTTCCTTGGATATACAGGTAGTATTGCACAATTGGGATCAGAATTTCTGTTGCTAAGCAAGGCAGTTCTTAAGATGGTCATGTCCAATTTTAAGAGCAATCTGGTCAATTCATCCACATTTTAACTGTAGAAGTAAAAATACTCCAAGTGCATACAAGCTAGCTCTATAAAACTAAAAAGGAAAATATATTTTTTTAAAAAGCATTAGAACTAATTTTACTGTTCAATATATTCAGAAATAAATCCTACTATTATTTCCAGGTAAATGAGATAGAAGACTGGAAACTATATTAATAATAGGAGGGGTAGAGAGGAAATAAAACATATGTAAAAATAAAAACAGACCTAGCCACATACAAAAAATTAAAGTCCCCCTTTTTTGTAACATTTACTAATTAAATCAAGCGTAAGGCAATTCCAGGTGGTCAGCCTTCCACTGCCCATGACTTCTACAATTAAAATAAGGACGGATTGACCAGACTGCTCTAATTTCCAAATATGTAAATATACTAAGAATTAATGGGAGGGAACAGGCTTGTGAATCTACAGCATCAAAAGCATTTGTAGAGACCTACAATTGAGCACTTGCTCTTCCTTGCCAACAACTGGTCACTGAGAACTAACAGTGCAACAGTGTTTGTTTGCATGCCATCAACAGGTAGTCAGTGATTGCAGACATACTTATAATGGAGGAAAACACTATTTCTTTGACAGCGATACTCAGTATTTGAACATAAGAGTTTTTCACGAATGAAGGCAAATATGTGTGTCCCAGAGATTGAATGTGGGTCGAATTTGGCCATGCAGGTACAAAGATATCCAGGGAAACGATTGAAGCCTGGGAAATGGGCCTCTTGTCAGTTAACAAGACTGCTGGATTACCACCAGCTTATTAAATACTTAGGAGCCAAGGACTTGGCAGTGCAAGGAAACAACAGACAATCACCAGCCATCAATAGACCTATCAGCCAATAGGAAGATACAACTCACAGAACAACCCAAAGCACATATTTCAGTAGAGAGAAATTCCCTGAAGATTGGCTCCAGCACTTAGTCCGAAAGCTCGGAAGAGTAAATATCTGGTGTCCTGGTGATTGACCCAGATTTTATCTCACATAAGATTTTTTTTTGGTAGAACTACTGAGATAATCAGAGTTTTCTCATAATGCAAATACCAAGTCACAGCACTGGTAGAGACTTGAATCAATCTGTATGGAATCTGAATGCTGATCAGAAAACATCTTTGGGAATCAAATATTTTTTGGCAATATTTACTGTAGATATTGAAGGTTTTTTTCACCAAATTTTTAAAACAATCAGATGTGCACTCTGGAATGGGAAATGGGAAAACAAATAAGAAAGAAGCAAGACATATAGTACCTTAAAGAATAGCCATGCAAAATAAATATATTAGACACATTCAAGCAAAAGTACAAAAACTAGCAAGAAATTAGAAAAAGACAATCTCTAGATTACCCTCAGCATTAGTTCTGTGGCAGATAAACAATTAACTAGAACAAATAATTTTCTTAACAATACTCAAAAAGTAAATGATTCAGACCTGTTTAGAAATAAGCAGAATGTATATGAATATTTTTGGAGATAAACCTCTACTTATTGCTGATTCCTATTTTGAGAATCAAGATAATCCAAGAAAGGGTAAACATTATTTTCTCATCCATTGCAAAAAATAGTCTAAGACTAGATCATTATAGTCTAATATATAGTACAAACTTTTAAAATATCCTGATGCTCCTAATGCCTTTCATTTTTCATGGAGCCAATTCATTTTAAGGTTACTATAATCACAATTAGTCATCTAATTAATACATTAACCAAACATATGCTTTCTTAAGATTATCAAGTCCATTTTTTTACTGAATTTTGCTCTACCTGCAAATTTCTATAACATTGGTCCAAAGAGTTTTAAAGCAGAAATACTTGGATTAGAAGATCATAAATCTCCAAAGTTCTGTATCTTTTATAGTTCTATTCAAAATCCTAATACTACTTTGCAATTCTGAAAACAGCACTACAATATGGGTAGTCCTCGCTTACCAACTCACCACTTAATGACTGGTTGAAATTATGAAAGGCTCAGAAAAGGGTTTACTACCTATAAAGCATTACCAAGTCATAAAATGTCAGGTGCTCCCCCATGATCATGTGATCACAATCTGGATGCTTGGAAATCTGTCTGGACTTATAACTGGTTGTCAAGTGCCTTGCAATCATGTGATTGCCAATTACAATCTTCCCTGCTGGCCTCCCCAGAAGGTCAATGGGGAAACTGGCAGGGTAGGTTGCAAACTGCTGCTACCTGTCAAGAGGACTCCCTCTTGTCTCTGGGGGCTGGAGGTCCCTGCTGTTTGTGCCTGTCTGAATCTTAGCAGCCAAAATTCAAGCATGCCTGGACCCCAAACTCCCTCTCTCCACCCCTGCATGCAGGAGAAAAGGACACCTACCTCCATGCTTGCCTGGATCTCAGCAGCTGAAATTCAAGCATACCCAGAGCCCAAAACCCCTCTCCCTCTCTTTGCAGAGAGCTCTACAAACACAGGAAAGGACTCCCAGCTCTGTGCCTGCCTGAACTTCAGCAGCCAAATCTGAGCAAGCCCTAAATCTGTCTACAGGCTTAACAATCTGTGAGATCATTTAATGATAGCAACAGAAAGCGCATTGGGTGAAATAGTCATATGGGCATCTTGCTTAATGACTGCTTTGCTCAGAGGCCAAGACTCTGGTTCCAACTGTGGTGATTAAGCTAGGGCTATCTGTATACTTTGTCTTTGTTTTGTTCAAATCAAAAAGTACATTAATTTACAAATATACATTCTTTATTCATATATGCATGTCTAACAACTTTCTTATTTGACGAGAGTAAAGTAATAAAGCAACTGTTAACCTGCTAGCAGATGATGTGCTTATCTTTTATGGATAATTGCTTTATACACTAACTTGCCTTATTCTATTATTGAGGTTTTAATTGAAAACAACTGCTTGTTTTTGAAGAAACACAGAAAATATCAAGAAAGTCACACATCTGAAATATTTTGAAATGCCTGTATTAAACAAAATTGTTTAAAATAATATGAGCATAGGATAACAAATGCCCAACTATGTGTACACATTATTCTGGGCTCAGTGAACAATAAAGGCAAAGGGAGACTGGATGGAAATAAGTTATCTAAAAAAAAACAAGTGATCATGATTCCATTGACATGGATGGTATACCACTTTCATTTTATTTTTAATAATTCAGTAATATATACACCTGCATGCATCAAAAGAATTACAATATTGTAAGATACTAATTTCTATGGCAAGAAATTGAAAGCAGTGGGGGAAAAATACAGAATATTAATGGATGTTAAGGTTTTTCTGGACCTCCAAAACTGAAGCAGACTGATGGCACAATTAAAGAGCAATAGATCCTCCTTAACAGATTTCGGATGTGTTTTGTTTTGGTGAGTTCCTACCTAGGAGCTTGCTTCTCCCCTTTGTTTAGAATCACAGCAATTCCACATTTGCTCGATGATGATAAACAAACAAGCAGAAATGAGCCGATTAAGGCACAATTAGCCACAACTTCTCCTGCTTAAGATATGTAATTATGAAGACCTCTGATCGTCGCGGCTCCGAAGCCGCTGCAGGGCCAGCAACAAACCGCTGCCACCCGGGCTCCTTCTCCTCGGATACGAAAGCTAATTGTTGTTGATCTCTGCATCTCCCCCCCGGAGGAACGATTCTCCGCGGAGACAGCCCGGTCGCCAGGGAAAAGCGACTGGCGCTGCATCCCTTCGGAGGAGCGCCGGGGCGGACTAGGAGAGAGCCTGGCGTAACTCTCTCATGCTCAACCTCTCTCCTCACGCCGGGGAAACGGAGGCCGAGGAGAACTGATCCAGGTCGCGCCAACGGCAGAGTAACGGCAGAGTAACGGCTGCGCCCGACCGCGGAAAGGGTAGGAGGGACGGCGGGGGCAACCCCTTCCGTGCGCAGAGAAGAGCTTAAGGGAGGTCAGCGCTCGCTTGCCGCCTTGCAATTGCTGGCTCAGTCAACCTCATCCACCGCCCAAACCCAGAACCGTCCGCGGGACGCCCCACCCAGAGTTCCTAAGAAACTACAGCCGTTACCTCCCGCGAATCCAGTCGCCGTTTCCCCAGCTGGAACACGGACGCTTCCACAGAGCATCACCTTAGCTTCCCAATGCGCATGCGCCACGCGTCCGAACCGGCGAGCGTCAGGGAGCAGGTGCTTAGCCTGGCACCCTCGGCCAATCACAGCGGGACGCTTAGAAATTTTAAAGCCAATCACGGCGAAGGGATTCGTTCCACTAGCAAACTAACCCAACCCCGAATCGGTCCGCCGTTCTTGGAGAGCTTAACGTAGGCGGTCTGTCCAATCAGGTTGGGACTTTTATTGCTACCGAGGAAAAACCCTAAATTATTGTCATTTGCATCAGAGTTGCCAGTTTAGGTCCAGTATAGACCGTTGAAAACTCAATTGTCAGATTTGGAATTTTTAAAATGCGTTTTTTTAATTTCTCTTATCAAAGGCATACATCTTCCTGCAAAAGTGAATGCAATGCAGCGATTAATATGTTAGACTGGGACTTGGAGACCCAATTTCAAATCCGCATATTATGGTATCTGTTAGATGACTTTTGCTCAGTTCAGCGGATCTCGTTCGTGAAACGTTCGTTATGAATATATACAACTGGAATATTTCTTTGAAGAAATTAAACCTGAATGAAGGAAGCTCTACATTCAGTCAATCTTTCCTTTGGTCAAGCACCAGCATGAAATAGAGGCAGTCAAGCAAATAATAAAAGAACACACCAAACAACAATATCTCTGTTATGTTCTAGATCTGAACATATAATATTCTAACAATGTTAATACTAAAGCTAGAATTCTAACAGTCAACATTCAAGGTAACAGTCATTTTCAAGGCAGAGTTTGATCTGATAGAATTGGCATGTTGAAGGATTCAGTACAGCCTGGATATTTTACTGTGTCATGATAGATACTTTTTAAAAAAAATATTTATTAAACTGTGCCTAACAAATACTGTCAAGTAACTAAGTGACACAAATCTATGATTGAGAAAATATCTGTGTTGGCTAAAAAGTCCATAAAAATGGATAATATACACAGTTGCATTTGCCAAAATGATTAATGATTCACCTGTGGAGATGGTTACCAGCATCAAATTCCTGGATGTGCACTTAACAAGTAGGCTGGCTTGCTAGCTCAACAGCGAGACACTGGTGAAGCGGGCACAGAGCACCTGCATTTTCTGTGTTGCATGAGAAAAATACACCTTCCTTCCCTGTCCTTACCACTTTCTACAGAGGGACGATTGAGAGTATCATGTCATACAGCATTGCAGTTTGGTTTGGAAGCATCACTGCTTCAGAGAGGAAGGCGGTGCAGAGAGTGGTGAGGATGGCAGAAAAGATTATTGTCAGTTTCCTCCCTTCCATCCAGGACATAGCACATAAGTGTTGCTTGAGCCGGGTCCGTAAGATTGTCTAGGACACTACACATCTTCTTCACAACCTGTTTTCCTTGTTACCTTCTGGGAGGAGGCTTCATGGTATCCGAAGCAGAACATCCAGATTCAGTCATAGTTTCGTTCCATACAGTGTTAACCTTGTGAACTCTAAAGCTTCTTCTTTCCATCAAGATGGTCAATGATTAATATTTTATGTTATTTATATGTAAGGGTGAAAGTTTATATATATGTTGTATATAGCATGTTTAAATGTGTTTTATGTATGTGTACACTTTTGAGACCAAGCAACTAAATTTCATTTTTAATGTGTGCCAATGTGCGCACAGTAAAAAATGACAATAAAGCTTATCTTACCTTACCTTATCTTAGTTTGGATCCGTTGTTTAGAGGACCCTCCCAAAACAAATGGAATTGTATGTGGCAATTGCTCAATTCAACCTAAAATATTGAAATATTTTCAGCCTAACTTTTCATTTCCTTAATTTCTTCCATGTTGGTATATATAATTTTTTATGAAAATATTCTTAATATTTTTGATAATTGTGATCTTTAAACATTTTAAAGATCTTTGTTCTATTAGAATCCCTAAATCTATAAAAATAATCATCTGGGGTTTTTTTTGGGGGGGGGGGATATTAAAAAACATCAAGTGTGATTAGTGGAAATTTACCGAGAATCCTAACACCTCTGGATTTCTCAGTCTCAGTAACTTTAAGGTAAACTAGACAATTTGTGACCCCCCTTGGATCCTTGTTTCAGAGAAATTTCCTTAACAGATTCCTCAATGCCTTTAACAATGGCAGAATGTCTACTGTAAGAACTTGAAAAGTTCTTAAAAATTCAGAAAGGTGTTCAGAGATGAATCTGCCTTGAAAGTAGTCCATGTTGAATAGTATAACATAGTCAAACATCAGAAGTTGACCACAGAGAATGTTTTATGACATTCTGTACTATGTCATAAAATTCCTTATATTGATTTTTATAGCATAGAATGTTTTATAAAATTTGATAAATTTTAACTCGGGGGGGGGCTTATGGGTCCAAGATTTTGGGTGCATTCTGTAAGTCCATTTGATTGAAAATGTTTTGCCCTATTATGTACTGTTTTGCCAGTGACAAAGACAGGAATTTTAGTAGTATACTAGGCAACCCATGATCTATTGGGTCATCCTTTCAGAGATATTTTCTTAACAGATTCCTCAATGGCTTCTACAATGAAAGAACTTCTAATGTACTGCCTTCAGTAGAAAAGTTGAGATACATTTAGAGATGTATTTGTCTTGAAAATAGCCCATGTTAAACTGTATACCATAGTCAAACATCAGGACAGGAAATGTCTTATGACATTTTGTATTATATCATTAACTATTTTAGGATAATTTTTATGTCATAAAATATTTTATAAAATTTGTCAAATTTCAGTTCCATGGGAATCATGGATCTCAGATTTTGGACACATTCTATATCTATAAGATAAAATTGAGGTACCTTGGTTCAAACATTGTTGCCCTATAATGCACTGTTTTGCACAATTAAAAATTATAGGAGTGAGACATTTAATAGTATATAGCAGTGATGGCGAACCTTTTAGAGACCGAGTGCCCAAACTGCAACCCAAAACCCACTTATGTATCGCTGGGTGCCGGGTAGGTGTGGCCCACTTGGCGGGCGCAGCTACAGTGAGCGTGGCAGACTGGGTGGACATGGCCACTGGATGGGTGTGGCTGCAGTAGTCATGGCAGTGGGTGGGTGTGGCCGGGCTGGGCGTGGCCACCTTGATGTTGTTTATGGGGAGGGACACCTGTGGGAGCCGGGCAGGGCAGGGTTGGGGGAGATCCAGGGGGTCTCCGGCGGGTGGGATGGTGGGTTCCCCAATGGCGGCTCCAGGCTGGCTGGCCTTAGGCCAGTGATCGCGAACTTTTAGAGATCACATGTGCTGGGGTGATGGCGCGTGCCCACAGAGAGGGCTCCGTGTGCCGCCTCTGGCACCCGTGCCATAGGTTCGCCACCACTGGTATATAGTTTGATGTAATTCAACTCTCACAGTTCCTCAGGGTTGGGGAATTCTAAGAGTTGAAGTCCATACACATTAAAATTACTGAGATTGAATAAATACTGCTCTAACTCCTTCTTGGTAATAGTTCAAGGAGGGGGCATTCAAGAGAGTCAAAATTATATTATCTCCAAATCAATTTAAAAGATAGGTCTTTTTGTCCAATTTTATCCCATAAATCTGATCATTGGATTGAAGTGCTATTCCCAGAGCTTCACTAGCTGATGACCAATGGGAAAATGTGTAGCAAATTACACCTCTCTGGCAAAGCTTGGAAGAAATTTTACAAATAATGTCCAAAATCCTAAACTACATTCCAATGCAATATGTTTGCAAAACAAACAAAGAATGCTGTATGTTCAGAATTAATTTTAAAATATTACAGAATCCACAGACACTTAATTTTGCAACTCTCTTCTTTTCAATTATTTTAATTTTTCCTGTCTGGTTATAGGGAACATATTCTAAATTATTGGATTTATGACTTAGCACACATACAAAAATCTCACAAGAATGAATGGTTGCATTATTGCTGTAGTACATCCAATCACATAGTGAAAACATCCAAAAAGTAATAGCGAACCTTACCTTGGAAAATAAATTTTAATTATTTTTCTAATTCTTTAATGCAATGCAAAAGTTTCAAAGATCAAACTTACAAACTTATACTTCCAAGGAGCAAATGGGTGATCCTAAGCAGGATCTAGGACAACTTGGCTGGCTAGCTCTGCCCAGCCAGTTCACCATCACCAGCTCACCACTGCCAAATTGTCTCTGCCAATTCACTGCTACCAAGTGGTCGCAGGACAACTCAACATGGCCAATTTGCCATGGGGACAACTCACCGCAGGCAGCCGGAGGGTGGATGGGCAGAGCATAGAGTGGTGGCGGCGGCGGCTGCAGCAGCCTCAAATTACTTGAAGAAAAGGCAGTTTATTCAACAGCATTTGGCAATTGAAGGTAGGAATAAAATTACAGTTTTGAAGTTGTTACTTTTATAGAGCAGCCTTTCTATTGTTCACAGAATGTGGGCAAACCCAGCTTGGATTTTGGGAATTACTAGAGGACACACAGGGTCCGGTAGAGAAGAAGACATGGCTCGACTGCCTGTAATATTTACCTTTTGTAAGTCAGTAATGGCAACCTTGGAAAGGGGGGTTTGGTGTGAAGAAATGTGTCATTGGAATGAGGAACTTGTAATATCTAGAGGGGGTTCTTATTTAGTTAAGTTGCTGGTATTTGCCAATTTCAACTTTAGTATTTGCCAATTTTGTGTTTTGCTTTGTTAGTTTCAGCCTACGTGTTAAAAAGCTGAAGATTTTTTGTTTTAATATCCAGAGTTCATTGGAAGATTAAGTAAGGATAGCAAAGACATTATTGGTGTGTGTGTGTTGCGGTGGTCCTCCTACAGTCTTATCACATATCTATCTTCTATATAAATAAAAATGTAAATGTTCGTTTGTTCAAAATCTTAAATCTCCAAAAGTTCTTCACCGATTGCTTTGAAATTTTGACACAACGTTGCATTCGAATACGTGCGTGTTTTTATATACCTATATTATATAGATGTTACACCTGTGACAGGTAAAACATGCTTTTTAAAAAAAACAGCGCCATCTGTTGGACGTAAAAGCAACACATGCTTTTACCAGACTGAGCCACAGCAACGCGTGGCCGGGTACAGCTAGTTGTTTATAAAATCCTCTTTCTCCATAACAAGCCTTCTAGTAAACTGCCTTTCCTATTCCAAAGTTTCTTTGCCTACATCAGCCACCCTTCTCCTTGCCTATAGAAAACAATTTGTACAGGTAAGCAAACAGTTATCTTCATTGTATATTTTCAGACAGGAAAGAGGTCAGTAATAGTGGCATGTACTCAGGCTTTTCCAAGATTACAAACAATACACAAAGGACATCTTTTGGACTAGACCTTGAGTATATGAATAAGAATGGTAAGTTTTGCTACACCCAAAATATGTGATTTCCCTAATTTCTCCTTAAATACCTTATACTAGATTTCTGTATACATTCCATACTTACAGAGATGGGTTATCGTTTACTTAATACTTTAAGTAAAATATTTTCACATGGCTACTATTCTCTTTCATTTCTTTATTTGGTTTTGAATTACACTGCTCAATCTGGACTAGGTTTTTTTCCCCTCCATCATATTCATTATGCTACCATTTGTTATTATTTAAATATTATTTATTATTATTTAGATTAATACTATTATTGTTATATTCTAACCCAGCAATGAGGAAAACATACATTTTGTCCCCTCATAAACATTTTTACCAAATCCAAATAGTCCATTCCTACTTTGGCATTGGTTTTATATTAGCATCCTTGATGGAGGACCAAACTGATTTATTTCAACTCTGTTGCCCTTCACTGAAAGATTTCCATTTTGTCACTTTAACTATTTGAGCTCCACAGGCCTGGGTGGAATGCAGTCTTGGCCTTGCTCACTTTGGACAGTGTATTCATTAAATGTGTTTACTGCATACAGTTGTAGGAAGGAGAACATCTATAGGACTGTTTTCAGCTGGAGTTGATGAACCTAGCTTAGCAAGATATGGAAGATGGAAAGTGCACAGATTTGTTCTTTTTTTGATGACTGATGCAATAATATATATAACATCAGTAAGTCTTATTAATGGAGTAAAATTCAATTATTCCATTAGGGGGTCAAAGCATAACAAAATAAATGTCAAAATAAAATAATTCAAAGAAAATTAAAATCTTGATCAAATATTTAATAAAAAATTACCATCTGAAAGACAATATAAAAGTATGTCATTTTGGCAAGATCATGTTTTATTATTTTTATTAGTTTTGATGTATTGCTAATCTACTATGCATGTGTTCACCTGTAATTTTTACATCTGGCATATAAACGTGTATTTATTCATAAATACTGTTGTCTACAATCACATTTTCTAAAATGTTTGTACAGGTATAGCCTTTTTTGTTCAGATAATTTAAACATTTTAATAAAGAGATTGTTGGCAATAAATTATGATTATTACAATAATTTCAATTATTGAAAAATTAATACAAGTCAATATTCTCTGTGCATAATGTATAATTAACCTTTCTCCCAGTTCCACCACACAGTACGGTATTAGGAAGAAAATACGGTAGCATTCTATTATTGATAATTTTCTTGCTACCACTAGATGGCCTTGTTTCCATACTGCTTTTAGACGTTTCAAAGTCTCAAAGAAGTCTATAATTCTTTATATTACGTCTGTATAAATATCTGCATTAGAAAAAAAAAGAGAGGCTATTTCTCAACATGGTAAGTATAAAGTACACTTACAATTCACATTCTCTCAATATCTTTACACATTTTCCTCCAAATACCTCAGCATGTTATTTTGGAAATCTTTTAAATATAATAATACCCATTTAAAAATGTAAAATTTCATGCAGTAATTGTATCAAAAATTCTGACTGAGGATGCATCAATAACAGGAAAAAAAATCATTAATAGGTAAAGTTTGGAAAGTGCTACTTCATTATTATTATTATGCTTATTTATTTTGAAAATTAAATAAATGGAGAACAGCTTGCAACCTCTTTCTAAAATAGAAATTCAAAAGAATTGTGAATGCAAAAAAAAGTCTGAAAAGGTTCTATTTCCTCCAAATTGATTACAGAAATATATTCCTAAATGCTCCTCCAAATTGATTACAGAAATATATTCCTAAATGCATTAAAACAAAAATATTTTTTAAATTATTGCAACAGTACTAACAATTTGTACCTACCTCACTCAGCAGTATCCATTTGGAAGAATTAGAATGGATAAACAAACGTAAAGCTTGTATGTTTCCTAAAAATGGGAGAATTGCACCCTTTGCTACTCCATCTTCAAAGTTATCTATTAATAAATGAAAATATTACTTCTGGTATATGCTGAAATTATTTTTTTAGCATAATCAATATCCTGCCATTAAAAACCAAAAATTAAATCAGAGTAGAAATATTTGTGTAGATAACTGACATTCATTTTCAATAAAAAGAATTGCAAACCAAAATTAAAGAGAGCCAGTTTGGTCTAATGATTAAGGCACCAGGCTAGAAAGAGGTAGATCATGAGTTCAAGTCCCGCATTAACCCTGAAAGCTGGCTGGATGATCTTGGGCCGGTCACTCTCTTTCAGCCTAACTCGCTTCACAGGATTGTTGTTAGGGGGAAAATAGGAGATGTGTTGGATATGCTTGTAGCCTTATTTGTAAAAATAAAAATAATAAAGAGGGGATACAAACAAATAAACAAACAAACAAATAAGGAAATACAAGGATTCACAAAAACTGTTACAGAAATTAAATGCCTTGAAACACCATAAATTGTATGCCTTGAAAAAATATGTAAAACTGCAAATGAAATTAAACTGATATATTGCCACCAAAATGTAAATTTGATGCACATCTCTAACAGTGTAATAGTGAACGTGCATAATTGACATCAATATAAAATGCTCAAAGATTGAGAAACAACTACTGAATATTATCATCTAATATGCAAAATGAAAAGATTTTTTTTATCCACAATGATTATTGCTAAAATTCAATTGTGTCTCCTAATGCTTTATTCTTATACTACCTTACTACCTCCTAAAACAGTGGTTCTCAACCTGTGGGTCGGGACCCCATTTGGGGTCGATCGACCATTTCACGGGGGTCGCCAAGCAAGGCTGTCCGCCATTTTTTTGTCTGCCATTTTTTTTGTCCGCCATTTTTTTCCCCTTTTCCGGCGGGTGCCTTACCTCCCTTGAGCTGGGCCAGCTGGTGGTCGGCCTGCTCCATCTCTGCCGCTTGCCAGCTACGCCTCGGCCGGCGCAGGGGGCGGAACCACACATGTGCGGCGCTCCCGGGCAGGGAAAGTCCTCAACTTACGACCGGTTTAGTCCTCGACTTACGACCGGTTTAGTCCTCGACTTACGACTGGTTTAGTCCTCGACTTACGACCGGTTGGGGTCGCGGCATTAAAAAGGTTGAGAACCACTGTCCTAAAAGATAGCTTCCGGAATTGAGACCCATCTGTAAATGTATTTAATCTTTCATTAAATAGGTAATATAATTCTGGACAGTTCTACTCCAAAGTAAATCCAAATAAACTCAATAATAAATAAATATAAAATGCAACTTTACTTTCTGAGTACTTATTTCCTCTATTACAATTGAAGAAATAAACGTACTACATCTCTAGTTAACTCTGAATATTTTATATTTTGTATTTCATTTGTAATGTTAATTTATATTACTATACAGGCAATATATACTGTATATTTGAATGACGTTAAATCTGAAATATACACTCTACATGAGGTTTCTCTTGAAGACCATCTGAAAGCCTTAGCTGGTGCAGAGAGTGCATCTATTATGGTGTGTGTTGTATTTTTGTTCTATAAGCTGCATTGGTTGCTGGTCTGCTTCCAAGTGCAATTCAAAGTCCTAGTTTTGACCTTTAAATCCCTACATGGCATGACACCAGGTTATCTGAGGGTCCATTTCTTCCTGATTACATCTCTCATCAGGTCCAGCAGGACAGGTATATTGCAGGTCCCACCTACTAAAAAACTCTATCTGATGGGACCCAGAAACATGCCTTTTTAGCTAAATCTCCTACCCTCTGGAACATCATCCTGCCCCCAGATGAGGTTGGTTCTATCTTTGCTAACCTTCTGGAAGGGCCTTAAAATGTGATTTTTTTCCCCCCAACATGTTTGGGGATCCCATTGGAAGCCTGAGAGGTAGCTCTATCGGGCTTAAATGATTGTTATTCTCCTGAAATCTTGACTTTTTAAAATTTATATTTAATTATTTTACTGATTGTTACAGAGTTTTAAATGATGTTGGTAGTGCCCAGTGTCACATTCAGTAAGAATATATATAGCCATTTGCTAAATAAATGAATGAATAAGTACATAAATAATACAAGGAAGCTGGAAGCAAATCAGCTTATATTCCATAAATAGTTCATACAGCAATAACAACTGTTAACTAAATGAAACAAGGTGATTAAAAAAAATCAATAAATAGACATAAAATGCTCTTCAAAATATAGTTTTTTATGTCACTTTCTGTTCAAAAGTGACAGCTAGATTTTAAAAATATCATTTTAAAGAGATGAGGCAACAAGGCAACACCCATATGAATTTATACGCATCAGCAGGAAAGTCTACTATCATGAAAACAAAACATGCCAACAAAAACATTCAGCCTAAGTCTTAACATTTATTATATTGCCTGGGACAGAACCTGAATCTTCTACACGTGTTTTATTATGATCAATCCCTCCACAGATGGAGCCAGAAACCCAAACTGAAAGGAAGAAATGTTAACACTGTTCTAAAAATCCTTTAATAAGAATTTATGCACTATTTTAAATAGATAAATTCTATAACAATCTTGTTTTTATTTGCATATGTTCAAGTTACCTTTAGTTTTCATTTCATTTTTCTTAAATAAATTCTAAGAAGAGAAAAATGATACTTTATCCAGTGGAAAATAACTTTTGGATGCAACTTGCCACAAATCCCCTCCCTTGTCCACTACAACATTGAAAAATAGCAATCAAACTGGATGCATTTTAGATATATTGTTTACCTATCTGAAAAAATCCATCCCAAGTTTTTATGATGTTAATGTTTCTTGCATTGTTTCTTACAGTCTGTAAATTAATATCCTGAAACAAATAAAAGGAATAAAATTCCAACCAGTCTTTGGAAAGGAAAACAATGTCTTCTTGATTACATTTATGCAAAAAATAGCTAGAGTTCAATAAAAATTACCCTGGTCAGTGAGAGTGGATGTTTATTGGTGGTGTGTTTTTTTTTTTAAAAAAAACAACTAAATCCTTCTAGGAATACATTTTTGCTATGGCTAATTTCTAATAGGCTGTTCCAAATGAGGAATGTTGCCAAATTGCTGTTTAATCAGAAACAAAGTAGGGGCAGGGAGTAATAATGAAGGGAGCACTGTAATTGCTTGCATTATGTTCACCGTGATCTCCAACTGCTACAATAATCTGAAGAAATTTTTTTAAAGGCAAATGGTTATCATTCATCAGAAGAAGTTACAGTATATGCTATCTGGAGGATAACAGCCTAATAGATTAGGAATACTGGCTAGAAATATTAAGCAGAAATAAACTTCTCTCCCTACTTTTACAGAAAAGGTTCACATTCAGATGGGCAGAGATACTTACCTTACTGGGTAAAACTTCTACAGTAGCATTAAACAATATGTCTCTAGGATGCTCAGAATTTCCACTTCTAAATAAGTAACTGCAGAGCAAATTGCATAAAAACATGAGAAATTTACCATTAATATGAGCCTTTGCTTTCCTGACTTCATCTTAGCAGATATGGACTATCTGCTGATATTCTGCCTTAGTTATGTGTCCCTCTTTCCATTTTTTGTACTTGTCCTTTTTGTCAGAGAGATTATCAGAGAGATCTTTGTGCAACCATACTGGTTTCTTGGTTTTTTTTTTCAGTTGTATTGTGCTAGACTGTGCTTTGTGGTCATTTTTTTCAGAGTTTCCCATGCTTCTCAAGTTGTTTTCCCTTTAGGAGTTTCATCCATGGAATTTTTCTTAGGCTCTGAGTTTGTTAAAATCAGCTCTTTTAAAATTTAAGACAATGGCTGGATTATGTTCTATTACTTGTGTTTGCACTATATTGAATTCTAATATGATGTGGTCATTCTCACCCAAAGTTCCAGCAACTTCAATTTTCTCTATCACTTCTTCTCTGTTAGTAAGAATTAGGTCTAGTATAACTTTTCCTCTAGTTCCCTCCTCTATCTTTTGTACATTATTTTGTACATTATATATTGTGTTAATGTACATTATAATGTACATTATAGTACTATAATGTACTATAATGTACATTATAGTTGTATAATATATAGTTGTACATTATACTTATTGAAACATTTTTTCACTTTGAGAAAAATTAAGATAAGTTAGTTGACCAATTTTGATGAAGAAAAATTACAGACAACAAGAAACATTTTGCATCGGGTGATAAATTACCTTATTATTTTCAATGGTTCCTCAAAACTGAACAAGATATAATCTCCAGCTTTAGGAGAAAATGCCCAAAATATTTCTATTCCATTGTAAGCATTTTCTAGAGTAAACTGCTGAAATACTTTTAAGCTTGTTTTCATTTTTGCAGGAGGGTTAACATGTTTCCTAAATAATGATGTTTTGACAAAATCTTCATCCTGTAAAATATAGATGTATATTCATATGTAAAAACACTATTTTACAAAGTTTTGTGAAAACAATGATGCACAAATTATAATCTTGGAATATAACGAGAATTGGGAATCACCTGCTAAACTCAATGTGGGGAAGATTCAGAACTGGTACAAAAATAAGTGTCCATTGCTAAGCAAAATAATGAAAGAACAAGCAAACCTGTATTGTGATGTCACAACTTAAACCACAATGTTTAAACTCATGTCCTTTCATCAGACTAAGTAAATCATGGGATTTTTTGTTGCAACATCACAATCTATGTGTCACCACTCCCCACCACCACCATCACAAATTTATAGTTGTCTGTGATAGTGCCATATTTACTGAGTAATTATAGTCTCCCAAATAATTAGTTGTCAATTTATCAAATTACTGCTTGTCTTACTGATAAGGACAGAAGCAGCCGTTGGAAACAAAGAAATAGACTGCAAAGACTTCTGCTGAAGAATGTGGCTGTCCCATTTAATTTTGTTCCTGTCTTTTTGTCTTTTTCTTTCCAGGTGCTACACTTTTTTTTTTTACCCCATCTCCAGCCTTCCCTTTGTTTTTGTGTATATGATTATGTTTCTGCATGTCAGAGGAAAAATGGTTGGTTTATGCAGATAAAACCAATTCAAACAAATAAGCAAATAAATAAATTATAACTGCTTTCAGGCTCCTGTGAATTCACACTGGAGGAAACTAAAGGGAATGCAAATGGAAGATTATTATTGCATTTGTATCACCTTTCTGGGTTCCCTAGTTGACACTGTAAGAACAAAATGTTGAAGTCCTCATGGAGTAATCTGATCTAGTATAACTTTTCTATATAAATTAGTTAAAATGAAATGAAACATGAGAAATAAAAGCAAGCTAGATAGAAAGGGATCTAGTGTCCAGTTTAGTTGTATTTATGGCCATTTGTTTGGTAAGCTTCAAATTAGTAAGTTTGCTTTATATGAAAAGACAAAATCCTAATTCTTGAACAAATTCTTGAACAAAATTCCTACCAAACCATAGGAATTTTAAAAGGCCAACTTAAATGCTTCTTGACTGGAGCCCCAATTAATTTTATTTTTCTATGAACGCTTAATTAAAAGAAATATTTCATTATTTTCAGAAAGAATACAAATTTAAATCAGAAGCAAATAAACAAAAAAGACATCTTACTCTCAACTTCTGTGTTTTTCCAGCTAAAGAAGAATGAAATCCTACATGTTGAAAAAGTGATGGTTTATAACGGATGCGTAAATTAGACTTCCGGCTTTCACAATCTTTCTGGAAAGAAAATCATTTTGTGCCATAAAAACCAGACAATAATATTTAACAGAATTTTATCTGAACATTTATTATTCTCTTACATGCAGTCTTGTAAGAAGAAACGACCAAATCTATTAGTGTGACACTAATAAGCAGAGCTGATGTAATATCAGGCTACAATTACAAGTATTTCTAATGTTCAAGTGGATTTGAAGATTTTCAGCCTTTGTGAGAAAAAAAAATCTGGCTGGGATTAAAGCCTTACCAGAAATATTAAAACCGTGTGGAAGCAAACGTAGAAGCAGGGTTTGTCTAAGGATAAATGTGGGATATGTAAGTAGGATAAATGCCATCAACTTCTAGAACTATTTTCTTACAACTTATATAGAAAGATAGAATGCATTTATCTTTAATAACTGCATGGGTTGCCCTGGCAATAACATCACAGGGAACAAATCATGAAAATAACTGCACTATACACCCTATGTGCTTTAAAAGCGATGAGTGACTGAAGTTGCCTTCCATGAGCTTTAATCACTCAGCAGAGAAAATATGCCAGACATGTCCTCTGATAGTGAGGCCATCAATGATTTTCAGAAGAACTGGTTGCTAGCAAAGCAATATTCAAATTTTGACTGAGCAAGGGTGGCAAGGACTTAGAGATTATAGAATTTTGCACCAGATCAGCAGGATTTGCCATCTGCATCATGCAATTGTGGTGTTTACAGATGGAGGGGGATAGTAAAATCATCATATCATGGCATTCAAATGAGTAATGGAAAGATAAACAGAAAAATAATGAAAAATTGAGAAAGGGGTGGGGAATTGAGATGAAGAGAAGATAATGAGAAAAGTGTTAAAGAAATGTCATAAGGCTTAAACTTTGATAAAGTGCATACTAAGTCTACAGATGTTTCAGTTTTGTGCATAAGCACTTACAAAGTATTAGCCAAGGAGAAGTGGGATAAAGATGTGAGAAATGTATTAAAAGTTTATGCCTGATTTTAACTAATTTTGCTGGAAAAACAAAACACATTTTCTTGGTTAATGCTGCTCAAGCAATTCATTAAGTTATAATATTAAAAGTAAAAAAAAATGAAAAATCCATGAGATGAAAACTGTCCTATTTTTTAATAAATATAAATTCTAACCCAAATTTTAATACAAAATACATTTATCAATACCAATTTTGAAAAGCAACAGGAAAGTATTTGAATCTAAATGGTATACTGTATTGAATGCACATATT